CCCAGGCTGGCCTCCAACTTGTGATCCTCCTGCCTCAGCCTCCCAAGATCTGGGATTACAGGTGTGTGTCACTACACCTGGCTGTTTTTTTCTTTGCTGAGGCAGGGTCTCAGCCCAGGCTGGCCTTGAACTCACTATGTAGCCCAGGCTGGCCTTGAACTTGTGGTGCTTCTCCTGCCTCAGCCTCCCAAGTCCTGGGACTATAGGTATGTATCACAGCATCCGGTTTTTTCCTTTTTGAGACAGGGTCTCAGTCCAATCTAGCCTTGAACTCACTACATAGCCCAGGCTTGTCTTGAATTTGAGGGGATCTTCCTGCCTCAGCCTCCTGAGTGTTGGAATTATACGTGTGTGCCACCACACCTAGAGGACTTAACACTGGCACTACTGGCATGTTGTCCAGATAATTCTTTGCTATAGAGGACTGCCCTGTGTACTTTAGGATATTTGGCATTCTTTATCTCTACTCACCAGAGGCTAATAACAGTTTCTCCCTGTCCTGTGTCGCTATTATATCTATATAGGTAAGCCAATTTTGGGGATTGTGCTGGGGATCAAACCCAGTGCCTTACACATGCATGCAATTGCTCTAACTACATTCCCAGTCTTGGAGCTACTTCTTCAAAACATTCATTTTCATTTTTGCTTTTTCTACTATACAAGATATATACAACAGATATTTACAATTACTATATATGCTACACATCCTGACACTAGTCTCTAACCACTGAACAGGCAAATAAACTACTTAACAATATCTAGTAGTTTTTCCATTTTTTGGAAAATGATCAAAATAGGTTTAAACTGACTATTAAACAGTCTAATGGTCAATACTGCAGAACTCAATACAACTAAAAGTTTTGTACAATACGTTAACATTAAGTAATATAGCCAAAATTAAGATATTATACAAATCCTATATAACTTTTCTTCACAAGGAAAATATGTTTACATATTACTGTTCATTCTTTTTAAAGAAAACCTTACCCAATAAAATTTATCCACTTTCAGAAAAACTACATATATAATTGCTAACCATATTCCTAAAAGTTTAAAAGTATACACATGAACATTTGTAAAAGACTGTCTTTTTGCAGTATGGAGATCAAATGGAAAAATACAAATTTTTAAAAAACTAACAAATGAACTTCATATTTATAAGAATGTAAAAAGTGCTATTATTTACTCACTGAAACCTAAGTTTACAAATCATTACACAACAAGAAATGGCATTATAATATTATCTTATACAAAGGCTTATTATTTTTAAACTTTTTAATTGTTGCACCATAACATTAGATTTAGAGATGTAAGATTCATTAAAAATGTTCTTAAGAACAGTATACAGACATCAATTTTGTATAGGGAGACCTTTTTCAAATGGGAGGAGGAACAAGAGATAGAGATGGGAAGGAAGGAAAAGATACTTTTAAAAATTGAGAAAAAAGGAAGCAAGAACTTTTTCAAATTGGAAAGGGGTCAAAATTTGGAGGAAGCCTAGAGGGATGGGAGGGAATGGTGACAAAAAGAGCAAGTATAAACTACTTAGGAAAAATGTAAACATTATGTACTATAAACATACACTAAGAAAAATAAACAATATACAAGCAAAAAGCATAATTAGTCCCAACCACACTACTGGGAGAACCTTCTTAAGTCTGAGAAGGATTGTCTCTTTCTACTGGATGTTCTTCTTAGCATGTGCTAACATATGAGATTTCAGGTTAGTTGACTGAGCGAACCTCCTGTTGCACTCGCTGAAAGGACACACAAAAGGTCTGTCTCCTGTATGAATTCGCACATGAGTGCGCAGGTTGAAATCCAGGGAAAAACGTTTCCCGCAGCCTTCAAAGATGCACTGGAAGGGCTTCTCTCCAGAATGAACCAGCTGATGACGTTTAAGTTTTGAGTTCTCAAGAAAAGCTTTGCCACACTCGGAGCAGATGTGCACTCTGGGTCCGTGGGTGTGCAGATGCTTTCTCATAGCACAGCTATCCTTGAACATCTTTTTGCAGCCTTCGTGACGGCAAGCTACAGTTCTTGGAATACCATCCTTGGCTTTTTTGCGCTTTATTCTTATAAATTCTGACAACTGTTTGGGATCGGAGAGGTCAATTCCAGGTAGTCCTTCAGGGGGAAGTTTCTTCCCTGTCAGGTATTCAGAATAATCAGGAGAGGAGGGTTCACTCGATATGCCAATCGGTACGTCAATCTCCCCCTCAGCCTCTCTTTCCGGGCTCGACGACAAGACGCTAGGGAACATATCTTCTAGGATGTGGCTCGGTGTCTGCCTCTGTTCTCCATTTTCACTGCTCAATTCGGAACTGCTGCCACCCACAGCGACCTCACCGCTGCTGTCTCTGTCTCTACGCGCCTTGCTGTGGTCACTGCCATTTCCTTCATGACCGGAGGATGATGACGTGGCAGAGGATGGCAAAGACAAAGGAACTGACTGGAAGTAAGTGTCTTCGCCCTCAACTGAGGTTGCCTCACTCCTGAATTCACTGACTTTTAACTCGAAATAGTCCACTACTTCCTCTCGGGTTTGTATTATGATACATTCCTGGTCATGGTCACCGCAGCTAATATTATCGGGGGCGACCGGCTGCAAGGTAAACAGAGGTGGACAATCATAGCCACCGTGGATCCAATTATCACTGGGATTCTGGTATAAAATGGGTTGCAGCTCCACCGTGTTCTCCATAAGGGCCCCCATGTCTACCTGTTGCAGTTCCACAACTTCTGTGGGCAACTCCGAATCTTCAGTGAGGTAGATAATGTCGTGGCTTTCTGAGGCCATGACTGACACTTTTGCAGTGGTCTTGACTTCTTGAAGCCGGTAGGTGGTGAGACAGTTTTGAGAAGATAGATGGACAGGAAAAAACTCTCTAACTTCACACAGTAGCGCGCGGGCTCGGCAAAAACCCGCACTTCAGGCGAGCTTGAGAAAGGCGGGGCGAACGTGGCGGAAGAGGCAGATGCTTTTGGGAGTCCTAAGCGCATGCGCCTTGGCAATTCACGCATGCGCCTCAGCGCCTCACGCATGCGCCTCAGCGCCTCACGCTTGCGACTGGTCGCGTCACCAAGTACTGTCTGCCACCTCGTGGAAAGCATTCAGGGTGTGTACTCACGCCTATCCCTACAGGCTGTGCTGTCGTGCTTGCTGTGCGAGGTAACACACACAAAGCGGAATCTCACTGGTTGACGGAATACTAATTTTACAACCAGTGTCTTTATTCATTTTCTGTATTTAACCACCTAATCAGGCTTATTACACTATCTGAAAAAGCGTCTATACCTTTAAAATATTAACCTTTGTTTTTTGGTTCAGCCCGTCCTGAAGGAGGGGCTGGCATAGCATGTGGTGCCAGAGATCGAACTACTGTCCCGTGCGCCTGCTTAAGCTTGCCTAAGTGGTGCTTTACACCATTGAGCTATCTTGCTGGCCCTATACCTTTAAAATATTTACACTTCTTTATTTTTTATTTCATTTCACTGACTCATGTTTATAGACCAAGATTATATATTGGTAATATTTTTTTTCCTGGAACCAGGGATTGAACTCAGGCCCTTGTGCTTATTCTACTGAGCCATCTCCCTTGCCCCAATGTTGGTAATAGTTGATAGTGGATTACTGATTTTACCTCTTTACAGGAGTGCTACTAAACGTTAGAGCATTATGAGAATCCTCTTATCCCTCCTTTTACTAAAGATATGTTAAAAACCATTAATGGATGTTTAAATTTGTGAAATACTCTCTTACATTCTGAGATGAGGATTTTTTTCTCCAAATGACAAATATTTACCATATGCAAACAGATTTCCCAATATTAAGGTATCCTTGCATTGTTTAGCTATACCATGTATAAACAGGTTTTTTTGTGCTTTAATACAAAAGATCTATCGGTGCCATACTGACTTTAAAAAAATCTTATCTCGGCACCATAGCAAAGGCCTGTAATCTTAGTACTCTGGGAGGTAAAAGCAGGAGGATCGAATTTTGAGCTCAGCCTATGAAACTCAGAGAATTAGCAAGACGCTGTCTCAAAAAATAACATAATATAAAATAAAATAGTGTTGGGCATGTAGTTCAGTGTAATAGCCCTGGTTTCAATTGCTAGTATTGAAAAAAACAATCTTAAGTTTCCTTCTCCATGCTATCTGGAAAGTTATAATACAGTGGCATTTTTTTTTTTGAGACAGTCTTGCAATGTAGTTTAGGCTAGCCTCGAACTCATGGTGATCTTCCTGCCTTCGCCTCGCCAGTGCTGAGATTACAGAAGTGCATCATGTTCAGCATAAATTGGAATTTAAAAGAACATATTTTCATTCAAGAGTTGAAAGAATGCTACCTATGAAAATTTCAGGGGCATTCTTCATCAGTTTTCTTTATTTTTTCCACTGCAATTATTGGCCTAGATTTTTTTTTCCTTATTTCCCCAACTGTAGTTATTGGCCTAGTTACCTTTTTTTTCTTATTTTCTCATTGTAATTACTGACCTACTTAGATTTTTTTCCCTATCTCCTCTGGAGTTAATTTCAGTTATTTTTTTTATACTCAGGTTTTTAAAACTTTGTTTTTGCAGAAATGATCAAGAAAGACTTAACAGTGTTTTAATTTTCTCTATTAGCTAATTTTCACTACAGACACTTCCTCCCACTGTTTAGTCATTTTTTTCCTTCAAAGAACTCTTGGATTTAACAGTTCTACTTTGCTTGTCCCTAATTTATCACTTTCTGCCTGTATTTTTACTACTTCATTATTCCTTTACTTGCTTGCTTGCTTTCCTTTTCTTTCTCTTTTTGAAACAGAGTCTTACGGTGCAGCTCAGGCTAACCTTGAACGCACTTTGTAGCCTGGGCTGGTCTCCAACTCTTGAATGCACTTTGTAGCCTGGGCTGGTCTCCAACTCACAACAGTCCTCCTGCCTCAGCCTTCAGAGTTCTAGGATTACAGGCATGTGCCACCACGCCTGGCAACTATTTTAGTTTTTAGACAGAGTTTTGCTACACACTTTGGGCTCACCTCAAATTCGCAGCAATTGTCCTGCCTCAGCCTACCCAGTGCTGGCATTATAGTGGTGCCTCCATGACCAGCTACTTAACTATCTCATAGTTCTGTTCATATATCTTAAATTGAATGCTTAAACTGATTCATCTCCATTTTTAATTCACAGTAAGTACCTAAGGCGGATGAATTTTTCTTTTAGCAAAACTTTTAATGCAAATTATTTCAGTAAAGTGATTTTATCTTTTTAAAATTTATTACAATGATGAAAGTTTTAAATTAAATTCATCCAACAGGTTATTAAGATAAACTTCTAAATTTTAAAGAGTTTTCACTTATGTTCCTACTATTACTTTTGGTTATTTATTTACTGGTACTGGCGATTGAACTCGGGACCTTGCATTTGTCAGGCAGGCATTATGCCACTGAGCTATATCCCTGGGCCTACTTATTGAGACTTTCTCTATGAATTAACATATGCTCAGTTTTTGTGAGTTACATGAGCAATTGAAACTTTTTTGTATTCATAGTATAGAGTTTGAATTAACTATTTTTACTTTACTAACTATAGTTTCTCTGGCCTGGCTTTTTGTGCTTATCTTGCATGCTTTGAGAGACAAGTACCTTTGTTAAATTTATTGCTGCTTGAACTTTTTCTACTTTTGTTTTGATATCTTTTTTTACTTGAGACAAGTAATATTCATAACCATTACACTTTATTTTTTAATTTTTATTAATTTAATTTTATTTTTTTTAGGGAAGAGTCTACAGGGTGCTCAGGACCTCATTACTAGATCAGACTCATAGTGATCTGCCTATTTACAGCCTCCCAAGAGCCGGGATTACAGGCGTGCTATCATGCCCAGTCTCAATCACTGTCTCCGTGCGCCCTGTGGCAGGGCCGGCATGGCAGATCTGGGGATCGAACCTCTGGCCCCTGTGCCTGCTTGCAGGTGCTTTTTTAATCCACTGAGCTATTTGGCCAGCCCAACTGTTACATTTTAATGATAGCTTACATTGCTTAAGTGACTGCTCAGGTCCAACTTAATGATTTTTATTATTGTGCTTTTCTCGTGGTATATTCTGATCATCATTTTACCTTCTATCTTTTTGAGTACGATTTAAATGGATTTCTTTTATACATCACAAATTTAGGATATTTTAAATCCAAAATAAGGGCATTTTTCTTTTCTTTGTACTATTTTATACTGCTGTGGATCAAAGCCAAGGACTCGCCCATGCTAGACACGTGCTTTACCACTTAGGCACACCCCCAGCCCAGTATTTTTTTTTTTCATAGAAGGGCTTATCTCATGTATATATGTTGAACAAATAAAATGCCTCTTAGTCTTTTAGGTTTGCCATCTTGTTTTAGTTTTGCATTATAATATATTTCTTTAGTCTGTTTCATGTTTTTACTTTAATAACCTGAAAGGTTCATACAGTTTAGATCTTGTAGTATTTACATATAAGTAATATATTCAAGCCTCTATTTCTTATCTATCAACTTCAGATAGACTTTCTCTTAAGTGGAAGAAATTAGTACGTAGACTTCTTGGTTTTACTTTTTCCATCTCTGGTTTTTTGGTTAGTGTCTTATATTAAAGTGTGTTTCTAATTCCACATTTCCCTAGCCTAAGTCAGTGATGGTGGACCTTTTAGAGTTTTCAGTGATACAAACAGTCCACTGTGGCACATGTGCTATAAGTTCACCACCACTGTCCTAAGTTATTCAACTGAAAAAGAGAAGCAGGGTTATGATGGATTTGTCTTCTATCAATGAGTCAGATCTGTGTTTCCCAACATTTCTTCTGTACATAGCTATATATCTAATTCTGTTCTCTGAATGAACTCTGACAATGCTAGAGTTCACTACTCATCCCTGAATACCATCTCTTCTCTATTCCCGAATTAGTTTATTTTTTACTTCTTTGTTGATTGTTTGTATTCTCCCTTGATTTCAGCAAATTTCCTTATATTTTAGCTAAGCTGATATTTTCCATAGTTTGTAGTTTCAGGTTTTGGTATTATTTTTGTTTTAGTGAGAATTAAATTTTTTCTTGTTTTTAAAAATTTATGTTGTTTTTAGTTTGTTTTAAAGAAGAAATTGGTACATAAATTGTTTTACTATATGTATTACTTTTGAGGGAGTCTACTAACCAAAATATATTTTTAATGTAAGTACTTTTCATAAAAACACTAATCACAGAAAATGAAAACCACAGATGAACATTTAAAAAAAATCTGTTACCTGCACAAAATATCCTTAGCTGCTGGACTGGTGATATAAGTTGTAAATGGGTGGTGAACAGATCAACAAATGCTCCAGGATATATAATGAAGAGAAAAATCCCAAAGCCATTAAACCGAACTTGTTCCCTAAGAAATCACACAAGAAAAAGGAATTTACTAATACTACTTCATTTGTTAAATTAATAATGTAGGTAATCTTAAAATTCATTGGAATTCAAATTCTTAAGAAATAGTCTCCCTGAATAATTAATACATAAGCTTATAATTTTTTTGTCTATTTGAGACAGGGTCACACTATGAAGCTCAGGCTGGCCTTAAGCTAACCTTTGTAGCCTGGGCTGGTCTGAAACTCGCAATGATCCTCCTGCCTCAGCCTCCTGAGTGCTGAGATTATAGGCATGCACCACATAAGTTTATAATTTTATAATAGTGTTGTACAGATTTGGTTATCTGTGAAATTAAATTTTATAAAATAAGGCTGAAGTCATTCTGAACTACAACTTCAAAATTTAAGAAGACAATATGCTGAACAAATAACTGAAATTAGTCACATATATAAAGTAATTGTTAATTCTATGTGAAACTAAGTGATAAATATTTTTATGGTCCACTATGAACTATTTACAGAGAGTGACACAGGAGAATATATAATTCAAGTAAATTATCGAAATTCTATTTGTCTTAGCTGTTGTGAATAATTGTGGGGATTTAGCTAAGGATATTCCTGTTAGACTATCATTAAGATAAGTATATTAGAAAAATGTATAATGCTCAGATTATCCTTAATAGAACTACTTTATCATTTTTCTTAACATGTACATTATATTTAATGATATCTTAAGACCAAACAGCTATTGTAAAAAAAAGTATCACCTTAATATATTGTGCTGTCAATATTAGATCTGTAAGACAACTAACTATATAATCTATTTTTTATTGACAATGGAGATTTTATTAAAAATTAGTATTATTTCATAAGTATACTATAAATTACTAAACTGTTAATATCAGCACTGCTATATGTAAAACCTTAAAAGCAAAAATATAGACACAACGGTGAAGGGAATTTGAAAAAAAAAGCAACCCCCCCTT